AATTTTTTTTTAATTTTAAAGTGGCATTTTAGGCTCTCTCTAGTGAAACTACCTGGGCCATGGACAGCATTTGACCACACTGAAAAGTTTTCCCGGACCCAAATTAAATTACCCTGACTTTTCTCTGACTTCCCTGATCGGCATGAGCCCTGAAAGAAGGTGGAAAAGGGTCGGCGATTGTGGTTTCGAACACGGGTAAGTTCACGTCCAAGAGAATCGTGATCGTCAATTACCGAACAGAGAAGAACCACTATAGAAATATCTATCTCGATTTGAAAATATGCTCTTTGAAAAACAAAGAAGTAGTGATTACAAGATAAGAGTCATCGATCTCGGAAGATCACTCACCGTGCTCAGTTTCCCCATAGCGGCGCTCGGGCGAACAGCGGAGAGTGCCTTTTTGTTATCCTTTTTCGGCTGTTCGATCGGCGGTCTTGTCACTGGATCACACCCACTCAGCACTCGATAATTTGCACTCACTCACTCACTAGACCACTCGCGGGTCACTCATGTCACTCCGGGCCCGCCGCGGGGCGGAGCGTACGTCGCGAGGGGCCTAAGTCGAGGTGCGCCGCTCCGGTGCGCTGCGGACGGGTCGGGCTGCTCGGCCGGACTGATCTCTCTGCGGCCGCGCCGGCTGGGCTGGGCCCCGCCGGCACCCCGCCCCGTCCCGCCCTCGCCTCGCCCCGCCGGCTGCCCGGCTGTGCATCGCGCATCACGGTACTGCACGGAGGCGTGGCGGGGCGTGGCGGGGCGTGGCGGGGCGTGGCGGGGCGTGGCGGGGCGTGGTGCCGCCAGGAAGTCGCGGGCTGACCTATCGGCCCAGTGGCGAGGGGCGCGGCGAGGCGAGGCGGCCCCGAACCGCGAAACCGAAGTAAACCGAGTCGAGCTCGAGATGGATAGGCACTCCGGGCGGGTGACAGCGCGACTTACACCTGGACGATTCCATTCGCGGCCGACGTGAGCGCGGCGGGCGGGGCGACGACACGACTCACTTGGAGCCGGCACTACCAGCGACTACACCACCATGCCACATCACGAACAATCAGAAGCATCAAACGATACAACATAGTTCTGTTGAATTCTTTGTTAGGACTGTGCAGTGGAGATCCGCAAGGCGCCGCATGGGCAGAGACGAGAAGGGATCGCCCAGAATGTACGTTCGTTGATCTCAGATTCACTCGTCAAATTTACGGGAGCTCGACGCCCACCGCCTGCGAGACTCGGGGTAGGCCACCCCGCAGTACACACATGCACTGCATACAAGATGTTGCCTACGAAGCAGGCGCTATGAGTGCTTGCATCGGATCAGCTGGACGTGGCTTTTTCGTGACGGCGAATGGCGGCGAATGATAAAGAAGTAAAACCGCAGGGACGCGTGCAAGCGTTGCAGCCTCCCGATGAGGGCGGGCGGGGCGAATCAGCCACCTGGTATATTTATTTACAATATTCAACGTTTTCGGTATGCGTATTTGGAGAGGACACCAACTGTCCAGGAAAGGGGGCAAAGATTCCGCTCTCGGAAGGAGTTCGAAGAAAGCGCGTCTCGAGGCGCTTCTGTCTGTAACGGGGTGGTCCGCAGTGGTCCCCGGCAGCAGCGCCTCCGCCAGCATTTTAATGCCGTTTCGACCAGAGTGGTGGGGCGGGCTGGGGCGCCTGCACCGTTACGACCGACAAGCCCTCCGGAATGCAGCAAGCCCTCCGACCAGCACAATAAACAGAAGAATCGTCATAAGGATTTTACGATCAGAAAGTGTCACGGGCGCGCGCGTCAGCCGTCTCTAGTTTCACTGTTGAGGGGCATCGAATGAAAACGGTAACTTTCGCAGTGAGCTGGAAGGGCCACGCAAGTGGGAGACTCCAGCTGGCCCGAAAAAACCTTCGGTCACATGTGACCCGATTTTCTCGCGTCAAGTCCAGAGAGCACCGGGAGGGCATCAGCCCCGAGGCACCAGGGGGCGAGCTCGACAAGCAGACAGACGTGCCGGACAGACTGGCCGAAACCCAATCCGCGACGCAAAAGTGACCGGGAGGCGGCCCGAGGCAGAGCGGGGCGGGGCGGGGCGGGGCGGG